GTAAGCAGTGTGTTAAGTGCTAAGTGTTCCATCTGTGACAATGGCAGACAAAGCTACCATCGATGATCTGGACGAGGTTCAGGCTTTTCTGAACAGAGAGGATTGTCTTGCCAGATTAAAATATCTGAGCAAACCAGAGCTTGTACTAGTGAGCGCCTACCTGGAGATCAAGATCCGTGCCAGTGATTCCCGTGTGGAGATCTTGTCCAAGGTTCACCGGCACCTGAAGGCAGAAGAGAAACAGGAAGGCGAGACTCCTAGTACAAAGGAAAGTGCAGACATAGCTTCCACGGAAAAGGAAGATAAGGGCAGTGACGTTGACAGTGATGCAGGTGAGCTTAATATCAGCTTCCTAACAGTCAAGATGCGTGCCCTAGAAATTAATCGAGAAATAGAATGGAAGAAATTAGAAATGGAACGAGAGAGACAAGATAAAGAAATGGAGATGAAAGAAAAAGAATTGGCGATGAGGCGTTTAGAATTAGAAAGAGAAGAAAGAAGAGAAGAACGAGAAAGAAAAGAGAAGCGAGAAAGAGAAGAACGAGAAAGAGAAGAGAAGCGAGAGAGAGAAGAACGAGAAAGAGAAAGAGAAGAACGAGAAAGAGAAGAGAAGCGAGAAAGAGAAGAACGAGAAAGAGAAGAGAGACGAGAGAGAGAAGAACGAGAGCGAGAGAGGGAAGAACGAGAAAGAGAGAGAGAAGAACGAGACAGGCAAGAACGACAGGACAGAGAGGAAAAGGAGAGACAACATGAACTAGAAGTATTGCGGTTAGGTGGGCAGAGGCAAACGACGGACACCAGTGGTTTCGATCCGGTAAGAAACATCAAAATGGTCCCCAAATTCCATGAGAAGGAAGTGTCAAAGTTCTTTGCAGCCTTCGAGAAAGTCGCTGCCTCTTTGGAGTGGCCAAGGGAGAATTGGGCCATCATGATACAGTCAGTCTTGACTGGGAAGGCCCAAATCGCCTACTCTACGTTATCCCTTGACGACTCCAGCGATTATGACAAGGTGAAGAAGGTTGTGCTCATGGCGTACCAATTGGTACCTGAGGCATACAGGCAGAAGTTCCGAAACCTGAAGAAGACCTCAGAGCACACTTTTACCGAATTCGCCACGATCAAGGAGCGACTTTTTCAAGAATGGTGTGCCTCTCGGAAGGTGGAGACCAGGGAAGACCTCGAACAGCTGATTCTGCTCGAAGACTTCAAGGATTGTTTGTCTGGAGACCTCAAGACATACTTGGAAGAGCAGCAGGTGGAGACCTTGAGTGCAGCAGCCACCATGGCTGAAGAGTATATCCTGACTCATAGGCCGTCTGCTAAGTACGTCCCGAGGAATTACCAGCGCCGGTTTGACAGACCTCACGACGAAGAAGAAGAAAGACCCGTCCCACAAAGTGCTAAGAAGACTCCCCCAGGTAGCCCTCGAAGAACAAGTCCTAGTAGTCCGAAACACCTTAGTCCAAGGAGGAATATGGTGTGCTGGACTTGTGGGCAGAAAGGGCACATAGCTGCTAGGTGCCGAGGCAGAAGAGGTGGCAGCGCACGAAGGGAGGTGATGTTGATGAGCTGTGTTACACCACCAGTAGGAAACCAGTCTACGACGACGCAGGAAGGACCAAGTTTGTTGGTCCCTCACACTTCAACCGGGTATGTAACGAGTGATCATACTGGTAGATCAATTGTAGTGCTCAGAGATAGTGGAGCAGCCCAGTCCCTGATCGTGAAGAGCTCGTTACCCGAGGGAGTAAGTGTGGATGGGAGACCAGAGGTGATCCTGGTTGGGTTTCCTAGGACGCAGTACATCGCCCCCTTATTGCCAGTACATCTTGATTCGCCCTATTTCAGCGGCACATGTGAGTTGGCAGTAGTCGATACCCTCCCTGTGGCTGGGATTGACGTGGTACTAGCCAATGACTTGGTGACCGATTGGAGCACCAATCGTCCCAAGGTTGCGGACGAGTCTACCAGAACAGCAAGGTCGGAGGTGACAACAGGCAATGGTAAAAAGACAGACCCGGATTTGAACATGTCTAATTTGTCCTCTCCCCCGCAGATCGACAGTTATTTAGCAGTGTCTCCTGATTCTCTCGACAAGGAACATGAAGTTAAGAAGGCAGAGGTACCTGAGCAAGAAGAGAGGCCTTGTGTGCGGGCACCCACGGATACCAACGAGTCTGGAGCGAAGGCGGATGTGTGCTTGCGGTATGGCAAGGTACAGCGTGTAGTGGACCAGCCAGAGATTCCCCAGACGTCGGAGGTATGTGAGGCATGTTCTAAAGGTCTAGTGCCCTCTTTGGTCCAAGCCAGGCTAGTGGATGGTGCCGGCTATGGACATGACAAGCTCAGGAAACTTATCCCTCGACTTACCAAATGTTTCCTATCGGTATTTTGTTTTGTTCTCCTATGTGCTCTCTGTGTTCTCAGTAAGGATCAGTGGACGACCCGAAGGATGATGGCTCCCGTGAACATCGAGAAGAGGTCCCAGGGATTGGAGATTTGTACTGCAGGTGTTGCAGTTGAAGAAGGGACCTGGGAGGTAATAGATGATACAGGATGTACGATATGTGATAATATGAGTGACTGTTTCCGACAGGTTGACACCCCCCGCGTGACTGCTGAGCCTCAACACAGCGTTATACGGAACGTTGGTCGACCTGACAGGGGCAGAGCGAATGCCATCTTCGGTGAGCAAGCAGCCCTGTTGGAACTAGGTGTGGGCCTAGTAGAAGAGTGTCTAGTAAGTACTGACTTGCCCATTGTCGCTATCACTCTGAATTATCAGACCCCTGTATTCCAGGTTCCTGTCTCCCTGAAGGACCATCGGACCGGCACCAGAAATGCCGTCTGTGGTCAGCCATCATCGGTGCCACGACATAAGGAAGTGTCGAGTAACCCCAAATCGTGTCGAAACCAATCCTTACTCGAGAGGTGTGAGATGATGTCCCTGCTTGACATCGCAGTGGAGACGTGGAAGATTAAGTCAGGCAGATCATTGCCTTCCATTTTCAAGCTCTCTTTGTGCCAGAGTTTCTCGGTAGAAAAGTTCCGTGGACAAGACAGCCTCATCTCTCCAGTTCATAGTATAAGTAAGTCCATTTGGAGTTGTGTCGCCCTGCTAATTTGGTTTGTGTTTTTTATAGAACCCCAAACCAAATTCTTTTTGGTGGGGAGGTGTTACGGACCCGGATTCAGCGTCCGAGCCTGGAGCAGTGACAAACACGCCATCTGTGGGTCAGCTCCCGAAACCCCCGCCAAACGAACGACGACACCTAGTGAGGACAGCGTGTACTGGCCTCGAGGACCAGTTTCCAGTCTGGTTCAGCGCTCAACACCGCCGCTCCTGACCTCTGGTGAGGTGGTGCTCCGACGACAGCGCCATCTATGGACTGGATACGTCAGGTGTTAGTATCTGAGCCTGTGAGTGTGGTGTATTAGTGTCCCGGTTATTAATGACGTGTCTGCTTACAGAGCCAACCTGGGACCACTGTGTTGAAGGTGTAGTCAGTCTACCCGAGGCAGCCAGTCTCCATACAGTGAAGTTTGCTGCAGCTGTCGTGACGTCGTCCCCCCGGAAGAACACTGTGGTGTGTTAAGCCTGCCAGTGGAGTGGCAGTGGAAGGATTTACCCGGGACCGACGGTTGGAGACGATAATCCACTGGGGTATTGAGGACAGGAGGGTGATTGGTGATATCACACGAGACTCCTGTCTAGGGCGTACCCCTTATATCGTTCGTGGAGTGGCCGTACCAGCCTTGGTGGCTCAGTACCTGCCAGCAGACCTGCTGGACGTGTGGTTGACGGCCTCCACGACGGTGCCCCCAGTGGACCTGTGTTGTGGCTGACCTGTGGCCAGGGTAGGCTCGGCGTTCTCAGAGGACACGTCTTGAGGCCACGAAGAAAGCACCAAGGACTCAGCACCAAGTGGTGTGGCACCAGCGTCTTCTTCAGAAGACCACGATGAAGAATTAATCCCCTTGTTAAGTGTTCATACCCTCCCCCTGTGTACGTTTTACTTTTATATATATTTATGGTGATGGTGTCAATTATAATATTAAGTTTCTTAACTTTCTTTCCATACTCCCTTTAAGTTACTTGCGTCACGGATCGCACCCCTTGAAAGCCTCTACTGGCTTGGGGTCGGATATATATATCTTCCTCTAACTACATCAGAGTAAGAACCCCGTTGCGTCCCGAGAGGGCCGTAACAGTGGGGAACACAGGTGGGGAACACTGGTGGGAACACTGGTAGGGAACACTGGTGGGGAACACTGGTAGGGAACACTGGTGGGGAACACTGGTGGGGAACACTGGTGGGGAACACTGGTGGGAACACTGGTAGGGAACACTGGTGGGGAACACTGGTAGGGAACAATGGTCGGGAACACTGGTAGGGAACACTGGTGGGGAACACTGGTAGGGAACACTGGTGGGGAACACTGGTAGGGAACACTGGTGTGGAACACTGGTAGGGAACACTGGTAGGGAACAATGGTCTAGAACACTGGTAGGGAACACTGGAAGGGAACACTGGTAGGGAACACTGCTGTGGAACACTGGTAGGGAACACTGGTAGGGAACAATGGTCTAGAACACTGGTAGGGAACACTGGAGGGGAACACTGGTGGGGAACACTGGTGTGGAACACTGGTAGGGAACACTGGAGGGGAACACTGGTGGGGAACACTGGTGTGGAACACTGGTAGGGAACACTGGTGGGGAACACTGGTAGGGAACACTGGTGGGGAACACTGGTAGGGAACACTGGTGGGAACACTGGTAGGGAACACTGGTGGGGAACACTGGTAGGGAACACTGGTGGGGAACACTGGTGGGGAACACTGGTGGGGAACATTATAAAGTTCACGGTGAACATCCCAAGTTCATGGTGAACATCACCAAGTTCGTGGTGAACATTAACTAGTTCATGGTGAACATTAACTAGTTCATGGTGAATATTACCAAGTCCATGGTGAACACTACCGTGTTCATTGTGGTAATGAACATCCTTGCAACACCGTTCAATGGGGAAGCCGATGACGTGGCTAATAGCGAGCAACACGAAATCATTCAACTGCAAAGGTATGATGATCTCAAAGCAATGATGAGCTATAATCTATGATGTGCTCAAAGTAATGATGAGCTATAATCTATGATGTGCTCAAAGCAATGATGAGCTATAATCTATGATGAGCTCAAAGCTATGATGAGCTATAATCTATGATGTGCTCAAAGCTATGATGAGCTATAATCTATGATGAGCTCAAAGCTATGATGTGCTCAAAGCAATGATGAGCTATAATATATGATGTGCTCAAAGCTATGATGAGCTATAATCTATGATGTGCTCAAAGCTATGATGAGCTATAATCTATGATGTGCTCAAAGCAATGATGAGCTATAATATATGATGTGCTCAAAGCTATGATGAGCTATAATCTATGATGAGCTCAAAGCTATGATGAGCTATAATCTATGATGTGCTGAAAGCTATGATGAGCTATAATATATGATGTGCTCAAAGCTATGATGAGCTCAAAGGTTGGTTGAACAACCTCCCACTGCTGAACTCGAACCCAAGATTGACTATGTAATGCATCAGTTATACAACGGTTGTGATGTAACTATATCCTGAGCTTGTAAAAATATCTTAATTACCTTCAGTGGTTAAGTGCTTAATAACACTCTAGTTTCTATAGCAGTTTTACCCTGCCAAAGTAGGAGAAACAAATGTATATGTGCAAATGTATTTTTATATATGTATGTATGTATGCCTATACAGGATATGTGTAAGCTGGAATATGTGAAAGGCAAGAATTATATTACACCTCAGTAAACGCACAATAATATCTCTATGTAAAAGACACCTCGAACACTGTTTATGTAGGACAGACGTAAATCTGTGTATATATGTCTGTTGGTTATATTAGCATTTCAAAATCACTACAATCACCTTCTGTGGCTGATTGTTCAATAAATCCCTGAACTATATGTTTAACAGACCTCTAACCCAGTCCATATAGGACAGAAGTAACTGAATATATGCTGATTAGCATTGTAAATGTCTGGCCACGTCTGTGGTAGAGTCCTATAAACATTACATAAGCAATGGTAAATTTACCGCTTTGAGGAGACATGCACTGAAATATACATCTGTGTTCAGTACAATTTACTGCTGCGACCAAGGGGCCAGATTCACGAAGCAGTTACGCAAGTACTTACGAACCTGTCCATCTTTCATCAATCTTTGGCGGCTTTGTTTACAATTATTATACAGTTAATTAGCACCGAAGCATCAGGAGGCTGTTTATAACGATAACAACAGATGATTGGGTAATTTTCATGCTTATAAACTGAAGCCCGTGATCCTCTCAACTAGTCAACGAATTTCTTCAGCGACCTTAGGCTAAACATACTCGGTACATAGGGTGCCATCAGGAAGTTGAGTTGCTCAGCCAGCTAGTACGTGGGTACCGAGTGCTGTCAGGGGGGGCCAGAGTTTGTTATTGTTCTAATAGCAGATTTGTGTTGAGTAAATAGAGGACGTAGATGATTTTGGGCAGTATAACCCCAAGCACAAATGCCATAATTGAAATAAGGATAGATGAGAGAGTAATAAAACATCACCAGGGCAGGGCGAGGTACATCGTATCTGATCTTAAAAAGAATGCCTACAGCCTTAGAAACTTGTTTTGCTATATTTTGAAAGTGTCCATCTAAATTCAGCTTGTTATCGATGAGAACACCAAGGAACTTACCATCTACTTTGTTACTAATTTGGTTATTGTTTATTCTTAGATTAATTTGATCTGAGGATTTATTACCAAACAAAATATAGAAGGTTTTGTCAATGTTATGGGTGAGTTTGTTAGCATTTAGCCAAAGATGGACTTTATTTAGTTCAGTGTTCACTGTATCATTCAGAATAAGAGGGTTAGGACTGGAGAAAATGAAGGTTGTGTCGTCAGCAGCAGCAGGGCGTTGGTATCTGGCTGATGATTGGCCTCAGTGGGTTCCCAGGTTTGTGGGTTTTAACATTTCCGTATGAATAGCCGGGTTTGTATTCTCCAGTGATTTTTGATAGGTGAAGTCTGGACTTTTTCGCGTTGACAGTTTCGATCAGCTTGTTTACTTTCGTTTTTAATTCGACTGTTGTATCCCTCAGGAATTTTGTTTGCTAGGAGAGGGTGAGCTTCATGTTTGCAATGTACTCATCTCTCTTTAGGATTACGTATATTGGTGACTTGTCGCCTCTCCTTACTACCACGTCCTTGTTATCACGGAGGCTCTTAGCTGCCGCTCTGAGCTCAGGGTTCAGTATAGTGCTCTTGTATCTCCCTCGGGTCTCCCCTCCTTCCACGATCAGTTCAGCTTGCAGAGTGTCTTTAGTGGTTACCTTACTTTGGTTCTCAAGCTCGAATATATGTTCTAGTACGATTTCTAACTCTACTTTCCAGGCCATCTCACTCGGTCTGGACATAACGTGTCCAGACCGTGTCTTAAAAAATTATTTTTGGAGGGTTAATTTTTAATCTGCCTGCTTCAGTGAAGAAAAACGTAAAAAATATCGAGAAGATTCGTGCCAGAATCATAAATCTAAAACTTTCTGTCATTTTCAATGAAATATACACACGTGTAATTTAGTAGGTTGTTGATGATCATAAGCGAGTGTTTGATATGTAGTGCTTTGCCTAGGTCTAATCTTTAATTATTTATATTTTTTAATTATTTGATGTAGTTGGTCAGGATATATATGTTGTTCATGCATTGTCAGGCGCCTTTAATGAGATGTGGTTGTCCTGCCTATTTATTGAGAACACTTGAGCTGACAGTTCGTAGTTGGACAAGTAAAGGCATAAACGACATTCTTATAAGGTATTTTTGTTCGTGTGTGGAGACTTCTTCATGAGTGGAACACTCCTCACAATGTGTCACTCATAGTTTCCCTACTAAATTAGGAAAAACACAGCAGTTGTCAAGATATAATTAGCACCAGAATACTCTATAAGCACCGTTTCAATTGGTATTTTTGGAGACTATATAATTTCTCCCTAGCTGTACACATGAAGACTAGACTGAATATCAATAACAAATCCCGTCACCCATTAACACATTGTGTACGGTAATTAGTTAACTACTCAGAGAGGATATGGTGTATTTGTGACAACATATTTAAATCACAGTGCCAAACAGGATTTACATGCCAATACCCACACAAGAACCACTAAAAGATGCCCGAGCTGCTAACAGACTCACTCTATGGAAGGTCCTGGGTCGTCTCCAGTCTCACTCCACATATCTCCGAAGGCCTGAGCCTTACATCTACCCTACACACTAACTTCACTTTATATACTATCTTCATCACCATACATATCTTCACTGCTCACTGCCTTCATCACTGTAACCCGAAGGAATTCTCTTCATAGGTTTCCAGTTACTCGTGAAAATGGCTAAAACTTTGCGGAAAACACATCCGGGACTTCATATCAGACTTCAGAAAAATCACACGTGGGGAAAGGGAGGGGGGTGTTAGGGCTAATATTTCTTGAAGCATTTACCATAGGCCTAACCCGTCCAGCCTATGTTCATCCCATACCTCAGACTATTATCCTGCAAATGAGGGTAAGAACAGCTCTAAGCCCTCCAACTTTGGACAGACACACAAACATTCTTTCTCTTATAGGTATACTAGGAGGGCGCTACCCGGCGCTGCCCGGGACAGTTTGACTCAAATCCACCCCTCTTTCCTTCCCTTCACCCCATATACCCAATCTTCCCTCCTTTCCCCTATTTCCACCACTATTCCCTCTCTCCTTTCCCCCCCCCTGCCTCTCCTCTCCTCTCCTCTCCCTCTTCGAACAGACAGACATTTCCATTGATATATACTGAAGAGACACTCGTGTCTCTTCCCTATTTTTCCCCAAATTGCTCCCCATTTCCCCTTTGATCTCCTTTTCTGCATCATCTTGGTCTCCCCTCTTCATCTTCCCTTTCCCCCTCTACTCCACTAGCCACCCCCTCCCTCCCCCCCTCTTCCCATTCTCGCAGAAAAAGTATTACTGCTAGCTGTGAAAACTCCACGGGAATCACACCACATATTTCATACTTGGTGCTGGCATGGTGTATGAGAAGAGTGATTGTGTGTAACCAATCTGGGTTCACCAATCAGTATATACACTGCAGTAACCAACATAATGACACTGTACTTGCCACAATGACAACACACACAGTATAATGACACTGTACGTGCCAGACTGTCAACACAGTATAATGACACTGTGTACTTGGCAGAATGTCAACACACACGGTATTATGACACTGTACTTGCCAGTACGTCAACATACATAGTATAATGACACTGTACTTGCCAGAATGTCAACACACACTGTATAATGACACTGTACTTGCCAGAATGTCAACAAACACAGTACAATGACACTGTACTTGCCAGAATGTCAACATACACAGTACAATGACACTGTACTTGCCAGAATGTCAACACACACAGTGCAATGACACTGTACCTGCCAGAATGTCAACACACACAGTACAATGACACTGTACTTGCCACAACGTCAACACACACAGTATAATGACACTGTACTTGCCAGAATGTCAACACACAAAGTATAATGACACTGTACTTGCCAGAATGTCAACACACACAGTATAATGACACTGTACTTGCCAGAATGTCAACAAACACAGTACAATGACACTGTACTTGCCAGAATGTCAACACACACAGTACAATGACACTGTACTTGGCAGAATGTCAACACACACAGTACAATGACACTGTACCTGCCAGAATGTCAACACACACAGTACAATGACACTGTACTTGCCAGAATGTCAACAAACACAGTACAATGACACTGTACTTGGCAGAATGTCAACACACACAGTATAATGACACTGTACTTGCCAGAATGTCAACACACACAGTACAATGACACTGTACTTGCCAGAATGTCAACACACACAGTACAATGACACTGTACCTGCCAGAATGTCAACACACACAGTACAATGACACTGTACTTGGCAGAATGTCAACACACACAGTATAATGACACTGT